TTTAAAGGAGTCATTATAGCTTTTACAAAATCTAACTAGAATAAAAAAACTTTAATATATACATTTTACTATCTAAAAAGAAATTTATGATAACTTACCATTAATACTATTATGAGCTAATTACGAATTATACCAGAGATTTCTTCCGAAGTATGATTGTCTTCCTTGATTATTTATATTTATCTTTATATGATTTTGTAGATAGGTAACGGATTCATTAAAAACACTAACTTTTGAGGAGTAATCTGTATATTATTGACATTAGGTCTTGGCGGTGGAGTCCCAGGGGTTTGGATGATAGGGTTTGTAAATGAAAGTGATAATTGATCTTGATTTACCAATGTTGGTAAATCTTTTGGTATTATTACATTATTATTTGGTATAGAATTTATAGAACTGGGTGGTGGTGGTAATAATAAGGTGAACCGGGTAAAAAATTTCTAATCGGTTAACCGAATTAGCTTACCCGAATACAATCGGTTTAGCCGTATTGTTTCGGTTAGATCAGTTGTCCCGACTAATTTGGTTAACCGGATAATTCAGTTAATATGGGTCAACCAAATTAGCCGGTTAACTGAATTAGTCAGATCAACCGAATTAGCCAACTAGTCGGGTCAACCGAGCTAGTCAGTTAATCGTGTTAGCTGAGACAACCGAATTAACCGAGTTATTCGGGTCAATCACAAGCTAATCAGGTCAATTAAGTTAATCAGATTAATTGAGTAATCTATTAACTGGAAGTTGTTCATTAAAACTACTAAGAACTTTTCTTTATTTAAAGCAAGTTTTATACGACTATTTTGGGTGAGAACATAACCTAGTTATATTACGTCTAATTTAGATTGCGTGCTGGAACAAAATAATATGGACATAAAAGACCTTGATGCTAATGAAAACTTTATACAGTATAACTATTTAAACTTATATAAATTGCATGTAAAGACTATGATCAAACGTTTCAATAGGTCTATCGGGCGGCCTGACATTAGCCAATTACAAATAAGGTGCTTGAAAAAGACAATAGGTATAAAATGCCATATGTGCACCAGTTTTGGCATTGAACATATGTCCAACAGTTTTGAAAATCATTGGACATATAAAGTTATATATGTTCAATTCTTTTCAAAATTATTGAACATATGTCCAATGCAATGCTGAATACACCTTCAATAAGTACACACCCTCTAAAATTCTGGCCCAAATATTTACATAATCTACATAAATAAATGTATTGTTCTCTAAGTGTACATTATTAGAGTTTGGTCCAAGAGCATGCCCTTATAGAGGTTTGCAGCTTAATATATACAGTCTCTCAAGTCATGGCATAAAATAATTCACAGAGCCTAAATAGTTCTTAATATAGCGATTTAATGAGCATTGTGTAAGTTAAATTCGTATGAGCATGAATTTGATAAGACATCTACTTACTATATTTATTGAAATGAAAAAACTTGATCGATACTGCTGTAGCAAAAAAAATAAATTAATACTAAATATGAAATAAAAATAAAAATAAAATAAAGGATTTATATATTATCTTATGTATTTACGTATCTACAAAGATTTATTCATGCTTTGAAAAAGATGATTCAACAAAGTTTTAACCCCAAATAATTATAATTCGAACATTAATAGAGCACGAATAAAATATTACCTATACAATATAAAAAATTCACATATCTTTCACATTGGCCTATTTGTGAATATTACTTAGATATAGCTTCTGATCAGTTAAAGACCTCCACTATAGATTATAGTCACCCTTTTAGTCGCGTATATATTAGTAAAAGGGTTTACAAACAAATAAAGATGTTCACCGCTTATTCAATAATTGTTTTATCCAACTACGAATCAAATGAAAGGAAGAACAGTTTTATAATTGGTTGACCCAACATCAATTTTTGTGGCTTAGAGAGTCTCTAAGCCACAAAAATTGATGTCAGGTTAACTGATTATGTTGGGTTAATCGGGTCAACCGATTATATCAGATGTCTAAGCTACAAAAATTGATTTCGGGTCAACCGATTATGTTGGGTTAATCGGGTCAACCGATTATGTCAGGTTAATCGGGTCAACCGATTATGTCGGGTTAATCGGGTCAACTGATTATATCAGGTCAACCAAATAACCAGATTAACTGGTCACCTGATTTTTTTCGGTTCAGTTCAGTTACCCGATTATAGTCTAACCGGTTCACCTCACTAGGTAGTAATAATGGCGATGGAAGCAGAGAAATGAGTAGTAATGACTATACATGTGTGTCTAAATTCGAGGCGATTTACGGCATTACGGCATTTTTTATATTTTCGGCAGCCTCTTCAAAATGCCTAAATGCCGAAAATAATTACG